GTGAGGCGCGGGGTCAAAGCCGGGCGGAAGCGGGGCGGGAGCAGGGGTGGGGAGTTGGGGCGGGATGTGGCGGCGGTGGCGGGTCGACTTTGGCTGGGCGGATCGGCGCCGAGACACGAGGCGGTTACGGCCAAACGGTCCCCGCGCGCGGGATCTGAGGAGACTTCTCCAGGAGTGGGGCCGGCTCCTCACTCGTTCCCTCGGCGCTGGGCCTCCCGTCTCCTCATCCAGGCCCCTGTTCCTTCCTGCCCTCTCCCCGCCGGCGCGGCCCTTGGTGCCCCACCCGCGCTTCCTGGTCCGGCCTGACGCTCGCTCGAGGCGCGACGGGGAGCTTCGCGGTCGCCTGAAGGGCCTGGCCCGCTCCCCGTGAGCTCTCGTTGGGAATGGTGTTTCGTGTTGCGCCGGGCCTCCTCCCTGCAGCTTGTGCGCTCTTTCTTCGCGCGCCCGTTCGTTCTTTCCTGCTTTGATGCCGTCAGCCGACATCCCACATCCTTCGGGAGGTCCCAGGCGCTCCGCTAGGCTTTCGGGACGAGGGGATGAAATATTAGATCAGAGAGACACCGTTCTCACCGGGCGCTCACGAGCGCCGGACGCTGGAGAAGCGCTTCACGGGCGTTCTCCTCTCAGCTCCGTGAGGCGCCTTCTAGTTCACAGGTGACTCAGGAGCCCGACGCCCAGCGGGCCGAGTGATGAGGCGAGGACTCAGAGCCGCGGGGGCGACTCCAGCGCCACGGCTCCGTCACCACACCTCCACCGGCAGCGTTGCAGTCTGAAGAAGCGTCTGCATTCTCCCCACCGTCCTCCCGCCTAGACAGAATCAAACATCCCCGTCGCTTATTGTTCACTGTGCCAGCCATGTTTGCCCCACTTTTTTTGTGTTGTTTCCTTCTGTGTCCTCAACACCCAGAAGAGCATGTGAGAGACTCTCAGTAAATACTCATTGCACATTGCGCGTCTTCTCTGGTACCACTTCCTTCGCCTCTCAGCTGGAAGGGAGATTTTCTTCTTTGTTTTTGTTTTTTTGTTTTTTGTTTTTTTTTTTGAGATTTTCTTCTTTGGACTCTCTACCTCGTGAGGACCAGTTTGGTTCCAGCCTTTATATCAGGCATGTAGCGTTGTGGTCACTGTGCCTTCCTTTTCTTAGGACTGTTTCCTAGTCATTGTAGGGCCTCGGTAACTTTAGCTCCTGCAGGGTAAGGCGTGTTCTTTAATCAAAGAGACAAGCACTGGCTTTCCAGCGTGCTTTGGTTACCCTAGGGGACCTACCACACTTATCCCTGAAGATGGAATTTCACTGACCCTAGGATTTCTAGGCCCTGCTTTGCTCATGGTCTGTATTTGTAGATCTTTGTTTTAGTTCTGGAAGGCATATTCCAAATCGGTTGCGCTTAGCAGCAGTTTTGTGTTTGAAATGCCTAGAGGTCTGGACTAAGAGAAAACTTAAATTCTGTTGCTGGTGCCTGCTGATTTCATATGACCTCAGACAGGTCACCTCATCATTTTGAACCTCTGATTTCTCCAAATGTGAATCTTTTTCAGGGGAGAATTGAGGTGGTGTGAAGCATGTTCTTGTAGGAAAGTCATTGTGTGTGTTAATATGACTTGACACTAGTTAAAAGTGGAATAATGCTCTTTAAATCACTCAGAAGTTTGGGAAGGTCACTCAGGGTTTGACAGAAAGTCAGTTTGGATATTGGCATTTTTGGGTATGTTGTGCTCTTCAGTTAATGTGTTTGTAGAAGTTTGAGTGGCGAAGGTGTGCTAAAAAAAAATAGAACTGCAGTTTGAGACGCTTTGGCTGCTGAGCTTAAATCTCAGTTAACAGAAGACAGGTGTACCTCATCTGTCAATCAGGGCATCCATGGATAGTAGTTTCTTTTATTTATTATTTCCATGTGGATATAACTGTGTTTCTCAAAAGAACGATCTCATCACGGTAGCTTGGTTGTCTCAACTTTCTACCAAAAAAAGGACTAAATTGTAGAAACTGTTATCCCTAACCTCCCAGTAGCTTTCATGCAAAGATTTCCAACCAATGGGATTTCTCTAAGGAAGATAATTTCCAGTCTCCATTAACTCCATCTGTTTCAGAAATGCAATTCCAGGGCCGAGCCTGTGGCGCACTCGGGAGAGTGTGGCGCTGGGAGTGCAGCGACGCTCCAACCGCGGGTTCGGATCCTATATAGGAATGGCCGGTGCGCTCACTGGCTGAGCGCGGTGTGGGCGACACCACACCAAGGGTTGCCATCCCCTTACCGGTCACGAAAAAGACAAAAAAAAGAAATGCAATTCCATGTTGTCTCCTAGAACATGGGACTGATTAATAAGTTTTTTTCTTTTTTTGTAAAAGATGACTGGTAAGCAGATCTTAACCCTTGACTTGGTGTTGTCAGCCCTATGCTCTCCCAAGTGAGCTAACCGGCCATCCCTATATAGGGATCCGAACCCGTGGCCTTGGTGTTATCAGCACCACACTCTCCCAAGTGAGCCACGGGATGTCTCTAATAAGATTTTTTCTTTGAGGCAAGTTATTTAATTTTTGTGCCTTAGTTCCCCCCCCCAAATACTTAGTTCAAATTTATTTACTTATTGTGCAAATAAATGAGAGATGTAACATAAATTTAGTTTCTTGAAAATAAACGAGGATACTTCAAAAAGTTTGTGTAAAAATGGAATTGAGGGCCGGCCTGGTGGCGCACTCGGTAGAGGGTGGCGCTTGGGAGTGCAGCGGTGCTCCCGCTGAGGGTTCGGATCCCATATAGAGACCGGTCCGCTCACTGGTTGAGCATGGTGCGGGCACGACACCGAGGGTTGTGATCCCGTTACCGGTCATGAAAAAAGACAAAAAGGAAAAAAAAAAAAGGAATTGAACTATAACACCAATCTTTCATGAACTTTTTGAAGACCCCTCATATATGGAAAATATTTCCCTGAGGCTTTAGATAGGACATCAAGGTTCCAGCCGTATCTATTGTGTCTTTTGAGAATTACCTGATTCAGGTCCCAATTTGAGGTGAAATCTTTCCCCTCTCCCTGATCAGTTCCCAGTGATCTCTCTTCTCCGACTCTTTGTCTTCTGTATGGTTATATTCCTTCCTTATCTCTAATTGTTATATCATGCCATTTAGTATTTTCTTCCTTTTTATTGATTGTGTAATGTGTGTTTAATATCCTTTGTCATTCACAACACTAAGCTTATGAGCATCATGAAGGTCTTAGATTTATTTGTATCCTCACTATTCCTACACCAGTAAATGTGTAAGAATTCAGGAACCCATGACGTTTATTTCTACAAGGATTCCCTTCCTGATAAACTACCATTCTTTTATTCTGCCTTCTCTAGGCACTTCTGCATATATTATTTGTTTTTTCTTTTTTTGTGACCGGTAAGGGAATCGTAACCCTTGGCTTGGTGTCGCCCGCACCGCGCTCAGCCAGCTAGCACACCGGCCATTCCTATATAGGATCCGAACCCGCGGCCTCAGCGCTCCCAGCGCCGCACTCTCCTGAGTGAGCCACAGGGTTGGCCCTAAATTACTTGTTTTTTCTAAATTTTTTGTTTCAATTAGATTGCAGGTCTAAAAGGGACTCATCTCATTCTCCTTTGATATTTGTTCCTTCAGCATGTATTTTTTTGAGCCCCTCGCATGTGCCTGCCATTGTGTTAAGGGTATGGTCTGTTATTGTAAAACAGAAAGCTTCACTTCAGCTGATGTCATTGTTGCAGGATGAATTCTTGGGTGCAGCTTGAGGTAGTGTAATGTAATGTCAGGTAGTGTAATGTAAAGCTCTGGAGTCATGCAAACCCTGGCTCCATTATATATTATCTTTGTGACCTTAGGCAAGTTACTTAACCACTCTGAAACCTCAGTTTCCTGTTGAGGTTACAGGGATAATAAATAACATAATAAATAATGGTCTCTGCCTCATAAGTAAGCTGTCAGTATTCAGTAAGACAAAGTGTTAAACTGTCGCACAGTGCCTGACATAACTGCTCAGTAAATGTTGGCTATTCTTGTCATCAAAAATTCCTGCTATATACACAATGGAATACTACTCAGCTATTAAAAAATGATGTCCTATCATTCGCAGCAACGTGGTTACTGGAAACTATCATGTTAAGTAAGTCAGGCACAAAAAGACAACTATCAGGGCTGGCTCGTGGCTCACTTGGGAGAGTGTGGTGCTGATAACACCAAGGCCCTGGGTTTGGATCCCATAGAGGGATGGCCGGTTAGCTCACTGGGAGAGCGTGGTGCTGACAACACCAAGTCAAGGGTTAAGATCCCCTTACCGGTCATTAAAAAAAAAAAAAAGTGATCTAGTTTAGGCATATAAAAGCCTAAATTTATAAATAAATTATAAATTTGTTTTCACTAATTTTGATGTACTCTTAGCTGCATTAGAAGTTATGAGTGTTATATGTAATAGGAATCTAATCAGTTTTGTGCAAACGAGAGGCTACCTTTGGTAAAGAAAAAATATATGCCTTTTTTTTTTTTTTTTTTTTTAAAGATGACCGGTAAGGGGATCTTAACCCTTGACTTGGTGTTGTCAGCATCACGCTCTCCTAAGTGAGCTGAACGGCCATCCCTATATGGGATCCGAACTCATGGCCTTGGTGTTGTCAGCACCACACTCTCCCGAGTGAGCCATGGGCTGGCCCAAAATATATGCCATTTTTAATAAAGTCTTGCCTTTATTTTTTGCTAATTCAGATTTATCAAACAAGTTAGAGGATAATTACTACCATTATAGAAGACATGCTTCCAAAATTTTGCTGTAAATTTCTTTCTTTCTTTCTTTTTGGCAGCTGGCTGGTGCAGGGGTCAAACTCTGGACCTTGATGTTATCATCACCATGTTCTAACCAACTGAGCTAACCAGCCAGCCCATAAATTTCTTTAAATAGTGAACTTGCCTCTATGTTTTTAGTTACTTATGGCTTGCTTTCTTCATACTTATTACCCATGCATTATCAGTATAAAGGGATACATTTGTTTCATTAACTGGATCTAGTCTCCTAATTATTTTTGAACAGTGAATACTATCTTATTATCAGAGAAATGATTAGTGATTTCTTTGTGCTGTTGTGGGAGTTGGTAGCTATTGATTTAACAGAATTGAAGTTGCTGTCTTCAAGCATTTTCCTTTAGGAAAGAAATTTATAATTTTTTTTTCCTTTTTGTCTTTTTTACTGACATATTCTAAAACCTGTGCTCATTACCACTATATAATCAACTCTAATGTCATCCACCTTCTCCCCGATGCCTTCTCCAGTAAATCTTTTCAGTGGTGAACATTCTTTATAATTCTTTATAATTGTTGGAACAGGGTGGAAGAAGAAAATATGCAGGGAACCCTAATTGTGTGTGGGAGTGTATATGCATGCTCTCTTAGTGTGCAGGTGTGCAGAACTCTGGCTGTGCTGACAGTGCTCATAGGAGGTTAGCCATGATATTGAAGGATTGGGAAACAGTGACAAGTGTGGATGAAAAGGCCTGGTCCTTGGCATGGCTTGGCTTCTGGCAGCTTCCTCAGCATCATCTCCAACTATGCTTTGTCTTGTTTAGTGTCATTTCCTGTTGAAGGGCCTTTGCACATGCTGCTGCTTCTGTTAGAACATGTTTTTCTTCTCTCTGTCTAGTGAATAGCCACTCATCCTTCAGTTCTCAGTGTAGGCATTATCTAAATCAGACACATTTCCTTCAGTGCTCTTACCTCATTTATAATTATCTTTTTATTTATATTTTATTTTTTTAAAAGATGACCGGTAGGGGATCTTAACCCTTGACTTGGTGTTGTCAGCACCACACTCACCCAGTGAGCAAACCGG